CCTGCTACTGTACTCATCTGTAATGTTTACTTTTCCCTGGCTGGTACTCCAGTAACCCTTCCGTCCCTCGACTACGTCCTTCACCCTTCCACTTCCGTTCTCCGGTCTGCCTTCAAACTTCTGCCTCCATTATTCTATCAGGTCCTGTGACCTCCATAATAAATTTCTCCCTACTTCGTCACTTTTGGGTGGCACTCGGTCCAACCCGAACAACTCCAAAACAGTACCGAAAGCTTCTCTGTAAATAATAAGGGGCTTATAGTCTAGTCTCCCTTTCAACCTAGACTATCTCACACCCACACACAACTTTTCATTAGAATAATGACGATTAAGATAATTAGATCACGCATACACTCACATCGAAATATTCCATACACGCTTGTATGATAAAATCAGGGTAATAGTACAATAATTCAAATTAAATAATCATATTTACAAAATGTACAGTTTTACAACAAGATATATTGCAATTAGGCAAATGGTTCCATTCTAGAGGATGTGTTTTAGAAACCTTCATATCAGATTGGTGTACTTTCAAAAGCAAGGAAAATAATCATTCTCCACGCTATTGTCTTATTCTTCTTATGGAATTTTAACCTATTTACTCATTCTGTTTTAAACCTCTTCATTGAAAATTTTTGACATCTTTTCTTTGCTCAATTTTAGAGTATTTTTCCAACTTTTATAGGTAATGTCTACCTAAAGGAATGAATTGTTCTTCGATGTACCAATATCACCATGCCATAACAAATGCGGTACCTATTTTTTTATTTCAGGATGAATTGGATGAAGTTATGATGTTTTGGAATACACACAGAATAAGAGCAAACAGGAACAACACTCCCTCAGGTAGGCCATTGATTCTACACTTATTGCCAGATATGGAGACTGTTGAAGATCATTTGTGTGATGTTTCCGAAGAGGATATAGATGTGTGCCTTATGGAATGTGCTAAAGAAACAATCTATCCTCGTTAGGAAGAATTATTCGAACTTTGTTGTCTCCATATGGAGGAAAACAACTGGACTCTACCGAAAGCTATCACCGAGGCAATAGACTTATATTTACGCCTAAGCAACTGGCTTTTAACACAACTGTGACCGGCTTGATGACAGAGCAATTTCTGTACATCTTATTTTGCCATAAAAACCGTTTTCAATGCATATATCAAACAGTTAATAACAGATAATTATTTCGGGGGGGGGGGGCGATATAAAGGTCTTTGTTTTGCTTTCCTATCATATTAAAGTCATATCATTTATGTAAATTCTACTAATAAATAGATTCTTGTCACCGATTTTGACTGTAATATGCTCTCAAATTACTTTGCATTTGTATTAGATATGTAGGCATTAAGGTTAATAAAGGTCAGGCGAAGATATGTAACTGTCTATAGGTTGCCCGCTTTGCACCTTAGTTTTTTTTTGCTCACTACTCCCACAGCTGGTGGTCAAGAATCGCTGCAAATATCATTGTATTGAGGTCTAATGGGTGCTAAAGGAAAATAATTTTGCATTTTTGGCGTTCAACTCGATGCAGTCATCTTGAAAGATTTTTAGTCGGTACTCGTTCTGGATGGATAGTCATATCAACACGAAAATTTCTCTTCTCCAGAACTTTTCTTACAATGCATTGCCAGTAATAAATAAAAATCGTCCTGATTTAATATCCGAGAGCATGGCCTTCACAGAAGCTACAAGGCCGTGAAGGCAGTAATATAGCCACACTGTCTGAACATATAGTAACATCGATATATGGTTTCTCATTTGAACACTTCATACGACAATTAATTGGTCTTAAATTTATTAAAAAAATGTATTGGTTGAACATTCTGAATGAATGACAGTTCCAAAATGTATCTAATACATTAAAAGTAAAATAAAGAAACGTTCCTTCTTCCTTCTGTGGATTCCTGCAAATGTTATATCGAGATTGCGTATAAATTTTAAATAGATTCAGCTCGGAACTGTGACCTTGTGCTGATGAACGAATTGATATTAGTCATTGGGATAAGTCTCACTTTTAGAATGCGAATTAATTGTAATCTCAGTATACGTTGGGTTTTTCTAACTTGGCTTTTCTCATTTTGGATCCGTTGTCTCTGATTAGATATCTTATACGTTGACTCGAGTCTTTACATGATGCTGTGATTACAACGTACTTTAATTACTTTGTTAACACGAAACCCATCTACAGTAGGACCCCAAATAGTATCATATAAGGTGATCAAATTCCAATGATCATTAGGCCCCGCCGCACAAGGTGGCAAACAAAAAGACATTTAGGTAGAGATATGGAACCAAAGCAATCTGTTACAAAACCCGGACCGTTAGGCCCTCAAAATAAAATAGGTTACATAGACCCCATATTAGCAAACTATAAGGTAAGCCCAGGGCCAGTCATACAAAGTGATCAACATAAAATTAACATACAAATGACTGTCATCAGTGGAACCAACAACCTCAGTCTTGAAAACAGCACATAATATATTCTAAATTTTTCATCTTTCGACATTAAAACCATGTACATTAAAAAATTCGGAAAAACCAAAACCCGGTGCAGTTGCCACCCATTTACAGCCTTCTTGGTACTTTCCACTCCCGGGAACTCGTTAAATAGCGTGCATTGCGTGCATTTAAACTCTCGTAGAAAAATCTGTGTGCCACAAATGCCACTCAGAACACTGTATCAACGACTGAATAATGAGTGCGTGATGGGTCTGTTCCCACTCGTTCAAGCCAACCAATCAGGCAAGCATGGAACATTCCAGTTAACGCTCCGCTGCCTGAGGGCTTTTTAAGAAGCACTCATTAAGTGCATTAACGCATTAGGAGGTGGCACTCATACCCTTCCTCAGGAATATTTAACAGCCTTCCATGCAGGCATTAAACAGTGGCACATGCACAGTATGTTCGCACGCCAATATAATTTAAAAAGTTCAGTTAAGTTCCCGCACAGTCGGGTTGTCTCCTGCTTTTTCCATCGCATGACGCAACAAACCACCTCTAATGTAAATAATGTCCATTTTGAACTGCTTCTGAAGCCTGTTAGCATTTGTGCATTATAATAAGTTACTAAGACAACAATGACTACATTACGTGTCTTCACTAACGGCAGTGTAAACAATAGTTTCAGATTTTGGAAATAAACGATTTCTTCAATTTATGCATTACAATGTTCCAGTTATAAAAAAAAAATTAGTTTCGATGACACCGCCAACATAAATTATAATATGACATAGGTACAACCTATGCTAGCTGAATGACATTACCTGTTGTCATAGAGTTGCCAGATGTGATGCCTTTTGTATCGTGCACGCTTTCAGCAATTGTAATATAATGCTCCCTCGTTGTAAGAAATATTAAGTGATATTGTCATTCAGTTAAATATAAATGTATCAAACAACTACTGTTATTTACGTTAATATACCCAAAAAATATTTGATGTATGCATAACAACACATAATGGCGTCACAAATAACACCATGTAAAGGAAAGGCGTAACGACTGAGGCTTCCGAATGTATTTCGAAGTCATATGGCATCAGTACACCATTAATATAATCGGTTCAGTACCCACGAATGTAATCCCAGTCTATTTTTAGATCACTTTTTACTGTTTCTGTTTGGTGGTAATACGAGAGTTAGATTTTGTCATTCTTGATACGGATTTAAAGGCAATTGTTTATTCTTTAGAATACGTGATTATGGTGTGGTTGTCTGTGTGTATTTCGGCGACAGTGCACATTGAGTAATAAGGCCATAGTGATGATTCGGAAGTGAAATCTGTGTTACGTTGCATGGTGTTTCGTTTACAATTCAGCCTGACAAAAAAATGCAGGTCAACCCTTGACAAGAACTTCACCGTAAAGTCATCTTTGAAGGTATTTTAGATTAACATACGATTTGTATTGATTGTCATACAGTGGAAAGTTCAGTACTGAGAAACAAATGTAGAGACGATATAGTAAAATTAATTGTGTTCTATGACCTTATCACTATATTTTTCTATCTCTCCATACCTCATTCTGTGTCTCTCCATGATGGACAAAATTATGTGGAAAAAATATGAGAGAGAGAGAGAGAGAGAGAGAGAGAGAGAGAGAGAGAGAGAGAGAGAGAGAGAGAGAGAGAGAGAGAGAGAGAGAGACTGAGCTGGATGAAAACCGGAGGCGATATAATTTTATGCTTACAACTTTCCTTGAGATTTGTCGAGTCTTACACGATACTGAGACACAACATCGAACTTGCCTGTCGAAACGAGAAATCTATTTTATTATGCTTGATTCTGTTTTTAAGTTCTCTTTAACCTATAAATGTAACATTGGTAAATATTAAACTGGATTAAGATCTCTCTCTTTGCACGTTTGTCAATTAGCATATAGTTATTTGCCTTAATTGATCCTGATCACGTTGTCTCTCCCTGTATCCATGCTGATAAAAACAGAGACTAATAGAGCAACAAAAGTGCAAAGAGATGGACGATATATACAATGTTATGGTCAGCCACTGTCCCGAAAAATAATTGATCCCGCAAACCCCCATCTCTCTCATCGAAAGCCACAGGCGAAAAGCAAAGGTCGTATCGGATTTGCATATGAACCAGGATATGATGATAAGTAAATCTGACTAACTGAGAGAGAGAGAGAGAGAGAGAGAGAGAGAGAGAGAGAGAGAGAGAGAGAGAGAGAGAGAGAGAGAGAGAGAATAAAAGCAATCTTATGGCCAGTAGCAACGATAAGAAAAACATTGTAAAGGACTAACATGGGTGATGCGATGGTTCAAAGGTTAGCGTGCCGGCCTCAGTACCGAATGAGTGCTAGTTCAATCCTACCTTCGGAACAGCCTGGGTCAGTTTAATGGTGTGCTTTGGGCAAGGCACTTTACTCCAATTATTTAAATAACCAACCTGTGTTGTTGTGTTATAGGTAACTAACTTGTGTTGCTGTACCATAAAGCACAAAGCCCAACCAAAATTTTAATTTTCTGAATTACTTCTAACCGCTCTGATGGCCTAATGGTTGAAACGTCCGCCTCGGATACGGGAGGTCGTGGGTTCGATCCCCGGCCGAGTGATACCAAAAACTTACAAAATGGTACTAACAGCTGCATCGTTTTGGCGCTCAGCATTAAGAGGTCAGTGTTAGGACTAGTCGGCATGGTGTCAGGATAATGTGACTGGGTGGGACATCAAGCAACATTTCTGCGGCATGATGCCACAGTGCTAGATATCAATATAAGCCGCCACACTACAGACATCGTAACGACATGACTGAAAAATTATTAAAGTTTCCTTAAAAATTCAAATTACAAAGACTTACCTCTCGTTATCATTTCAATCATCATATTCTTCACTGGTTTAGATGTATTTAACGGTTATCAAATGGCAGCACTTTAATTGTTCGGTATGCTAGCCATACAATGCTTGTAGTGCACACTTCATTTAAACAAATGAGTCTCAAACTCAAACCACCCTGAGGGCCGCATGAGGGCATTTTAAGTGGCCCAAGGGCAGCACCACCTTTTTTTATCTCTATTGACACCTTGTTACGCCAACCATTTTGCGGGCCACAGGATATGGCTTGACAGGCCGTGTGTTTGAGAGCCCAGATTTAAACGAACTTTCACTTTTATACTCTCCTTGACTATAATAAATGTAAACGAAGCTCACAAATGGAGCAAACCGAAAATTTCCAAAAGTATTATAAGTAACAACAACAGATGCAGAGCTGTATTTCATAGCGGGGACCCCAGTTGACCATGTAGTCTAAAGCGCCCACCTTTACCAATCATTACCATCCCACCTCTATCCTCGTGGGTTCGATTCTTGGGCTCGGCCAATGTAGGTATGCGAGAAAACTTGCCAGTGACTTCCCATGGGTCGGTGGTTCTTATCGAGCTTTCCCGGGTTCTTCTTCCACAGTTATACTGGTAGCCATATATGGCCTATCTTGGGCTTATAAATGTTAAAGCCAAAACAACGACATTTAGTACCTTGCACACAGGGAATGAATGTAAGAACACTCCGTCCGTCATTGCAGTTTCCTGTAGTCAATATTACCAGAGTTGGAAACATAAGTAGGTGTATTTGTGTGGGTATAAATAAAACACATATATTATGCAAATATTACAAATCTTAATGGAATGATCATGGCTCGAATATTGCAAAAAATGTCCACACGTTGCAAATTTATTTGGTTTGTAACAATTTCTATTATGTTGTCACAGTGTTCAAATGGACATTTTCTTTCACAGCTGCTCATTTTATACAAATATATAAAAAGTAAATGCATAACTTTGTGTGGTTAATCATACATAATTGATAAACTTTCCATGAAATGAATAACAAGAATTTAAACTTAGTAAGCTATTTCAGCTGTATAGTAATCCATGGCATGCTTAATTAACCATAGAATGTGGATGGGGGATAAAGTATGTATCAACAAGACACCTAAGGAGACTGGTGTTCCGCCAAAGCATAACTGTATAAACCAAATCTTTGCAGTTATGTTTGATTAAAAATACCATTTTAGTTGTATTCTAAAGAAAGTCAGTAAACAATGAAATCAAAGGGGTGTATGAATCAGACGAGAAGTAAATTGTAAATCCATTTATTAGCAAACTATTATTCATAAATGTATGATGGATCGACATTTTAAAAGAGTGGATATTCAGTTGCATCATGGAGGAAAGGCAAAATATCAATACTGACTTTTATCACATTTCCTTCAGTATGAAATTCGGCAGCAAAGATTTCCAGGAGTCATTATTCTTTTATTCCTGAGACATGATTTGTACATTGTTTAAACAGAAGATCTGCATATTATGCAATCTATACATAGTATACTTATAAATCAAAACCAACTGATTTACACTGAAACATATTAAATGATATGAAAAATGCAACACCATTTAAGGTAATGAAAATGGTTTTAAAAGTTTTGAATCATAATGAAGATGCAAAACAATGTCATCAATCACAAACTTTTCAATCCTAAAAAGAACAGAAAAAGTCAACATTTACCCTAAGAAGAAATGGAGTATGTGCTCAACTGGAATATGTCACAAAGAAACGAACAAATGTATCTCATTGACTTTCTGACACTGTCAAAATACAAAAATTCTTTATCATCTACATTTATTGAACACAAACATGAATCACATTATTAATCAGGGAACATGCAACTGTAATATAATCATCAGAGGTATGAAATACAGAACTAAGATTTATTACAATGTCCTTCAAATTTCAAGCTCTACAAAAAACATGGAACAAAATTATAGGCATATTTAACATAAATGTGTTTTTATTTGTGTATGAATATATTATCAAGTTAAACAAATTTAAATGCAGTGGTTCACATAATATAAATTGAACATAATTATCCATTACTTTTTCTAACTTTTTCAGGATAGAACATTCTGTTCTGTTATTCTTTCAGAATAAGCAGATATTCCCAAAACTTGTACTATTAACATGGTTAAAATGAAACAAGTAAACTAATAACAGAACTGAACAGTAACAAATAATCTGAATCAATGTATCGAACATCCTTTCTATATGCTTTGATTCGTATTAAACATAACTTATCTCCCAAACATTGCTTGATAGGATATTTTCAAATTCTTCTCGCATATCTGAGAATATTTCATAAGTTGTTGGCATTCTTAGAATATTTCCACAGGTATGGGCTACTGGGCGTCTTTCAAAGCCATATAACCTTGTAAACTCAATAGTGATCTTTTCACTCATGAGATTGGAACATGTGCAAAACCGCAAAAAGTTTTCCATACCTTTCTTGTCCAACCCTTTTACAAAACGTTTCAGGTAGTTAGATGTGGTTTGCTGATTGCAGTCCATCACATCTGGAAAGTTCAAAGCATTCAATATTTTCTTCACTGTTGGCTGCTTTTCTTTATAAATTTCACAAAGTTCATTTTGGTCCATTTCTAAATTGGTTCCAAGCACTTTTCTCCAACTTTCGATGACAAATTTTGGCTCCTGTAAGATTTCCTTGTGTGCAATTTCTTGAATGATGGACTAGATGTTTGCAGGTGTTGGCAACCTTTTACACTCATGGGATTCCTAAACCTCCAACAGGTCATTCATATCAACCAACTCAAAGGTATCTAATGCTGTTTGAATGATGGTTCGTTCTGAAACTGGTATGAAGCCAAGAAAGGTTGTTGTAAGGCTTACTGTAATCATACCAAATATTGCATCTTCAAGTAAAGGCTGCGCAAGTTGTACTGGAAAGTATTTCAATGTTGACCAACCATCACATATGATTCTTCCTACTGATTTCCATTCATCTTCACCCATATCATGTCGCAAAATAGGAACCTTGATATCAGCACCCTCACAACATTTGGAATAGAAGCTTTCCCAGAATTCAGTGAAAATATCTCTGAGAAGTCCAACACCTTCACCTCTTTTATCTTCTCCATTTGGTAATACCCTTTTCACTGCACAACTGCTAAGACACATCTCTTCCTTCTGATACAGCCTTATCAGTTCAGTAAAACTGTTACCTTGATGTATCCTAATTGTTGAATCAAGATTTCTTTCCTCCTATGCAGACTGAAATGTATTTGCTTGTGGAGTTGGAACTTCTGGTAAAAAATTATGGCCAGATTCAGAAGATACTGATTCAAACACAACAATGTCATCCTAACATAAAGTTCCAGACTGATGTTGCAGTATAGGGTAAAGAATTGCATGAGATGGAAGGAGACTCCTCTGACGACAAAAGTTTGCAAATCTCGGCACAAAGTGAAAACATTATTTCATTATCCACTTGGACTGTCAACAAACTTGACTGCAGATCTGAATCACAGGACTGCATGGTTGATGCTGTTGTAGAGGCATTCAGTGCTGTTGGTGCTTCAATAAATGCTCTGTATGTTGTTGGCACATATCCTTCAGAACTGACAGGGGCTGAGGCAGATAATAAATCTAATCCAAAGGATGATTTCTCACCACATGTGGTTAATCCAGGCAAATTCTCCTCCAGAAGACCTTTATCACTTGTATCTACAGTAACAATAGGCTGCTTTTTTCTAGAATAAACATATAATCTAAGTATTCTCATTTGTGTTATTTTATACAGATCTTCCATTGTTGCTGAGCTATCAACTAGTGACTGCTGGAAATCTTTGAATTGAAATTCAAATTCTGATTCACAACCCTTCCTTGAGACACCTCCTGGAAAAACAGTTTCTTTCCATATTCAAGAATGTCTTTGGATTTCCAATATTTGCTCACTTTTGCTTCCCTTGTACCACCACCATTTTTATTTCTAACCTGTTGGTACTTTTCTGAGCATAAATTAAAATCGCACCAGCCAAGTTCAATCTTTCTCTCAATGTGGTTTTTCTACTATACTTCTGTTGTTTGCTTAATAATTCCTGGCAAAATCTTTTTGTCGCATAAACATCTCCAAGCTTTGGAATATACATTTGTAACTGACTTTCTGGCATTGCACATAGGGTTTGGCAGTCAAAACACACACAAAAAATTACATTCAATCATTTTAGTAATACAAATTTCATTTGATATTTGCAAGTAAATGAGAAAAATTGGTAACATTAAAATTTTACTCACTGTTGGCACCATAGTGCACAGCTGATGAAAATGTTTAATATAATGAAAAGGACTATAATACATTTTCAAAGCAGGGCAAGTAAAATTTTTCAACAACTTAGTACAGAACAAGTGATTTTTCCCCCTTTTTCTATTTTAAAATAAATTGGGGGAAGCACAAATTTTCATATTTATATGACATATCAACCTTTATCTGGCCACCCGTGTCCATACAGAATGCATCAATCTAACTCACGTGTTTGTGTGTGAATTATATTACTGCTTGACAGCATATTGCAGGGGTCACGCTACCAGGCGAAGTGGGCAAAAAAGTCGCCTTCTTCTGTTATGAAAGCGAAAACGACTTCTTCGCCCAATGATTTTTCGGACGTAATATGACTGTAGATTACGACTTTGAGATGCCCCCCCCCCCGCTGTAGCCAGTATAAGTTCTGGCACTGCCGTAACCCTACGCCAAATGTATTTACCTGGT